GGGCTGGCTGAGGACTCCGCGCTTGGGGCGGGGCTTCGCTGCCGGAGTCGGGTGGGCAGGGTGGCCATGTGCGTGCATGCGTGTGCGTGTGCGCCGTGTCTTGTGCACACGTGAGGGCCGTGCATGTCTGTGGAGTGTGTCCGCGAGCGTGTGAGCCTCTGGACCCGCGCGGGCCCCATCGTTGCCGCCGGGGAGCAGCCTGGCCAGGAGTACACCGGGCCACGGCCGGGACGAAAGCGCTCTACCTCCCCTAAAAAGAGCTCGTCTGGACTCTCGCAAACTCTGAAAATAGTATTATACTTGTAGGTAGGTCATTTTCTTCTCTTTTTAAGGAGAAAATAAGAAAAACAACTGCAAAATGTAGGAGGAAAATCAACAAAGATTTCTTTTGCTGTTTTCTACCCAGAACTTTGTCATATAATTTGGTTCTTTCCCTTTTCTATGTTTTGTTTTTGTTCTTTTGGTACCGGGGATCGAACTTGGGACCTTGAGCTTGCAAGACAGGCAGCAGCGCCACTGAGCGAAATCCCTGGCTCTCTTCCCCTTTTCTAAAACAGGGGCCCCTGCTTCAGCATTGGGTGGCTTTGTGTAGGCATAAAATAAAAATGTTTTTAGATCACATTAGTGCTAACGTTAAATGTTAAATGTCATTAGCCGGGCGTGGTGGCACACACCTATGATCCCAGCACTGGGGAGGCTGAGGCAGGAGGATGGTCTCAAAGTGGAGGCCAACATGAACTACACAGTGAGACTTTGTCTCAAAAAACTAAAACGAAAAAAAAAGTAGAATGTCCTTTGAAAATTTTAGAAATTATACTCAAACAGAAACACCCATCAGTGCTTTATTGTGGAAGCAAAGAAAAATATTTAACATAAAAAAATCAAATTTGAAAGAAACAACTGCAAAGTTGTTAACACGGATGAGTTCTCGCCTCACCTCGGATCGTAGGTTGGCCCCACACTCTGAGAACACTGGGGTGAGAAGGAAACAGGCACACAGCCACTGAGGGGCAGGGGAGGTAGCTGGAGCCACAGCACAGGAAAACCCAGGGCCGGAATCCCAGAGCAGAACCTCCTCACGCCATCTGCTGAGACAGTTTCCGACAAGTCAGGAGCCACAGTCCCCTCAGGGCAGCTGCCCACGGACAGAAAACGTGGCCCCTAGGGGCACACGCTGGGACTGCAGCGCCGTGGCTCCCCAGGACGGGCCGGGCCGAGGAGTGGAGAAAACAGATGGAGGAACCAGGTCGGGATTTGCCGGTGTGGAGCCAGCCCTTCCGGTTTTCAGGGTCTCCCCTCCTTCCTCTGTCTTGGGCCCCAAAGCCGCACACGGCGCCCTTAGGCAGTAAGGAGAGGGTGGTTCCACAGCCTCCCCAGACCGGTCTCCAGGCAGCTGGGGAGGCTGCTCCAGAGGGGCGCAGAGGGTGCAAGGGTGCTCTTCGTGCCCACCTGCCTGCCTCCTGCAGCTCCCTCTGTCCAGTCCGAAGATCTTGCAAACAAAAGCCAGGGCCCCTGACTCTGCTGCAGCGGTGCTGGTCGCCTCACCCCAGGCAGAGCCAGCCCAAGCCCAAGTGGGAACGCAGGGGACAGAGATCCCTGCCTGGACAGGAGCCAAGCACCGCCCCGTCCAGGGTGCTCAGATGGTGGGGTTATCTGAGTTCAGGAGAGGAAGAGTCATCAGGCTGGTACAACAGCACGCCGGTCAAAGACAGCCTGCCTCGAAACTAGTGATGTTTCATAGGTCCTTTGTTGATACAGGGTCTTGCTAAGTAATTCAGGCTGGCACTGAACTCACTGGATAGCCCAGGCTGGCCTCAAACTAGCAGCAGCCCCAAACTGCCTCAGCCTCCCGACTGCCAGGATTAGTGGTGTGTGCCACCAGGCCTAGCTAATGATGTTATAAGGTAGTTTACACTTCCACAATTGTCCTGAGCCTGCCATTTGTCACCAGTCATTAAGAATATGAAGCTGGGCGTGGTGGCTCACACCTGTAATCCCAGCACTGGGAAGCTGAGGCAGAAGGATCGCCGAGTTCAAGACCAGCCTGGGCTACATAGTGAGTTCCAGGTCAGTCTCAACTACACAGTGAGACCCTGTCTCAAAAAACCAAAAAACAAAAAAAAAAGAATATGAAAAACAAACAAGCCAGATGTGGTGGCAAACATATGTAATCCCTGTACTCAGGGAGGCTGAGGTAGGAAGATCTCAAGTTTGAACCAAACCTGGGCAATTTAGCAAGACCCTGTCTCAAAATAAAAAAGGGTCCGGGGATGTAGTTCATCGTGAGGACTCTGGGTTCAATCTAAGACGGGGTGCGGGGAGATCTTAACTCTGCCCTAGGATGCCAGAGTCACTCAGTAGTGCTTTTTGCCAGGAGTATGTACGACACAACCACTCACATTTATGACAGAATCCATGACTTGGTGATGTGGGGAAGGAAATAAATGTTTCAACATCTGCAAGGTAAAATAGAAGAAAATGGCCATGCCTGGTGGCTCGTCCCAGCACTTAGGAGGCTGAGGCAGGAGGATTGCCTCAATTGGAGGCCTGCCTGGGCCACATGAGCAAAACCCTGTCTCCAAAAAAGAGGAAATTTTGAATAAGGAGAGCTTACAGGAACACAATGGCAGCTATCCAGAGAGGACCCTTTCACCACCCAGACTAGTAGAGCCTGTGTCCAGTAAGCAGCCTCAGGCACCAGCCCAGGGTTAGCACGGAGGACAGCTGAGCCTCCCCTCCGCCACGGGCCGGAACCCATGGCTGGAGAGAATCTCGCTCTGCTCACCGTGCCCTTCTCCTCTTCTCCCGAGTTTTAAGTGTGTCAGTTCTGCTGCCCGAATACGTTTTGAGCACATCAGCACTGTACCAGAGATTTCCAGAGCAAGCAGCTCCCTGGGCTGCACAGACAGCAGTTCTCGGGGACAGGGGTCTGGTGAACAGGCTCCGAAGCCAACTTGATCATGATTGTCAGAGCCGCACCTAAATTTAGAAAATGGCCTGCACATTTTCAGTCTGGAAGTGAGGTCCGACTCATGTTCACTGGAACACGCCACCCCGTGGGCAGCTGTGGAAACCCCTCAATGCTGTGTGGTTTGGGGTCCGGCCCTGGAAACAACACCCTCTAACACATACCCACCACACCCCTAAATTAACTGTGAAGCCCATTCTGTGCTGCCTTTCATCTGCAGTTGGTGTTCAACAAAGCCACTGGGTCCACCTGGACTGCGTACAATGTCCCTTAAACTGTAGAAATGTTTCATTTCCTGGGAAGTCTCTGTATGCCACTGTTGTGTTCTTTTCTTTCTTGAGACAAGAGTCTTCCTACAGACTGGGCGTGGTGACGCACACACCTCTAATCCCAGCACTCAGAGGCAGAGGCAAGAGGATCCCCACCAGTTTGAGGCCAGCCTGGGCTACATAGTGAGTTCAAGGCCAGCCTGAACTACGCACTGAGACCCTGTCTAAAAAAAAAAAAAAAAAAAAAAAAAAAAAAAAAAAAAAAAAAAAAAAAAAAAAAAAGCCTCACTATATATCCCAGGCTGGCTTTGAACTTACTGTATATCTTAGGCTGGCCTCAAACCTGCAGCAACCCTCCTGCCTCAGCCTCCTGAGTGCTGGGATTACAGCAGTGCACCACCCCACTCAACGGTTGGCCTTCTCAAACATAAACTCCTGGAACTGGGTTCAGAGCTCATGTACAGAAAGAAAGCCTAGCAGGTGCAAAGGACATTCTAAGATCTCAACATCCAAGTCAGAACCCCAAGCTGTGTGACTGCGCTGGGGTGTGGCTCTGGTCCCCAGCACTTGTTAGGTGCATGAAGCCTGGGTGGGAATGACCCCAGGGCCACTGTTACGGGTGTGTCTAGATGCCCCCCAAAGCCGCCTGCGTCACAGGGCTGAACCTAGGGTGTGAGGCACTGAGTTTAAGGGTGTGCAATTACTAAGCCAGAGCACTGATCTGCTCAGCACCACCCTAATCCCGGTAGTACGGATAAAGGGGCACAAGGCCGCTCCACCCTGGAGCCAGTAGATTATGAACTGAAACCTCTGCAAACTGTGAGCTAAATAAACCCTTCCCTTTCACTTTGGGTGCCGGGTATTTTTCTCAGCAATGAGAGAAAAGTAACTAAGACAGCCACAAAAGCTAAGTAAAGTAGAAGAGTTACCCTGGAAAGCTTGCTTTTCACATGTAACGTGGTATTCGAGCAATTTCAAACTCCGGGTGGTTTAAAGGCTTCAGTGTGAGATAATGTTGAAGAATCCAGTAAACTTTGGCTCAGAGGATCAAGCTCTCACTCCACACACGCACACACACACCCCTTATTAAATTTCCAGTGCTGGCCTCAAACTTTAAATCCTTCTGCCTCAGCCTCCCAAGCCAATGGGATCTCAAGCAAGTGCCACCACATCTAGCTGAAATCAAAAGGGGTGGCGGGGTTTGCAGGACTGGGGCTTCAGACCGGGGGGCACCAAGTCCAGCCCTTTTGGGGCAGGGTCCCGCTGCACCACCACAGCAAGCTTGCAAGGCGTTTCTGTTTGCTGTGCTGTCTTCCGTGCTGAGGATGGAGCCTGGGCCTTCACACAGCTAGACAAGCATTCCACCCACTTCCCTCCCTGCCCTACCAGAGCTCTTCAAAGAGCAAAATCAGACACGGGGGAAAGAGGCCTCCTTTACCCAATAAACCACACCTACTTCTTTGCTATTTCCTTTTATTTCCTTCAAAAGGCTTTGGTGAAGGAATAGCGTAAAACTCACTGGAAAGACACAAGGCTCCAACACAGAGCAGTGCACCAGCTGCACGTGGTCCAGTCTCTCCCTGAGGTCCAGGGACCGAGAGGTCTGGCGCTGTGTCCCGGCCAGTGGCCACCACGCCACACACCAGCTGGGGGAGACCTGGTCGGTGGGCACCGCAGGGTCCGGGGTGGAGCATGAGGGGGCCTCGGAGTGGCCTTCGGGGACCGCTGTCGGGCAGGGCACCACTGTCCCTGCTGCCCCGGTATCACTGCAGACTTGTGTGCCACTGCAGCTCCTTGCGGATGGCCATGCACACATGCTCTGTGCCTTCAGGATCTTCTCCAGTGGGGGCATTGTAGTTTTGGGGTTCTGGAAAGGGGCGTCGTCCGCAGGCCCGTGACCTCCACGGTAAGGGGTTGTCTTGGATCTGCTGGTGTGGAACCCGCATGGGCCACACTGAGCCCAGGGCCCAGGGCCCGAAGGTCTTCCTCCCTGAAGACTCTCGGAGGGTCACTGTCTCCCCAGTCTGCCGCCGTCACCCTCCTCGGGCTGCTGGCCAAGTTCTGGAAGTGGCCTAGTGACGGTAAACTTGATATTGTCAGCCACGGCCAGGATCCGCTCCAGGCTCTGGGAGCCCAAGGTGCTGGGCTTCCTGAAGGGGATCCCTGGGGGCAGCCCCTCGACGGTCACCCAGCCGGGGTTGCTCTGGATCTGACCATAAGGCACCTGCAGGGGGTGGGTGGCCCCCAAAGCCTCCCCAAACTTCTCACTGAACAGGTCCTGGACCTGTGCCCTCAGCATTGAGGCCATGTCGGCCCAGGGGACTCTGGCATCATAATATTCCGGAAAGCTTGTCAGGCTGTGCCACACAAGGGGGTCCCCCAAGTCCCTCTCCTGACTGCTGGCCTTGGGGAGCAGCTCGGGCCTCCTGATGACAAACCGGATATTGTCGCTGGCCTCCAGGATCTGACACAGCTTGGTGACACCAAAGCAGCTGGGTGGGCGCAGGGAGATGCCGTCGGGCAGCCCCAGCACAAACAGGTCCTCAGGGTGCGCCAGGAAGGTGGAGTAGGGCACCTGGCAGGGCACTGCGACACCCAGGGCCTCGGCCAGTCGCATGCTGAAGAGCTGCTCCACCTGCTGGCGCAGCAGACGGGTCCCATGGCCGGGGCAGTGCTCTGCAGGCCACCTCTGGGGCCACTCGTCCTCGCCGGGCCCTGGGTCGGCCTCCGGGGGCAGCAGCGAGGCCATCGTCTCCTCAGAGGCTGCCGGAGGACCCTGGAGGGTGACCTGAACGGCGCCCGGCAGGTCCTCGGGCTCAGTTTTGCTTGGCCGCAGCTCCGAGGAATTCCCCGGCCTGCAGCCTCTGGAGACGCCGCACTGGTCGGACCCTGTGGCAGCGGCTGCCAGGCCAAGCGTGGTGGCCCTGGAGACCTCGGCGGAGGTGTCCTGGGCCGGGCCAGCCGGCTCCAGCTTCATGGAGTCTTCCACACACGTGTGCTCTGCGCTGGTCTGTTCTCCAAACGGCCCCTTAATGATGAAGTGGATTCTGTGTCTCTGCTCCAGGATCCGCCTCAGCTTGGAGGCCCCGTAGGTGCAGGGCCGCTTAAAAGGGATCTTGTCCGGGATGCCCACGACCTCCACGGCCTCCGGGTACTGGACGATCTTCTTGTAGGGAACGCGGACCATGTGGCTCTGGCCCAGGGCTTCCCCGAACCTGCTGTTGAACAGGATCTGCACACACTCCCGCAGGGTGTTGATGTCCGCGTCCCTGATGAAGGTGTCCCACTTGTCTGACGTATCATGGACGACAGAGGACAGAATGTGCTTTGGGGTGTGGCCCTTCTGGACGCCAGGAGCAGCGGGGCCCGGGGGCTTCTGTCCACAGTAGCTGGAGACGTCCTGGGCACCGGGGGCCTTGGCCTCGGGCACCAGCAGGCCCAGGCCCAGGGTGCCAGGGGCAGGGTGATAGGCGGGCGCCTCCTGTCTGAGCTCAGGGACGGTGTGGCCAGGCGCAGCTGTGCTGTGGAGGAGGCTGGCCATGGAGGCGGCAGGGGGCAGACCCTGGGGGGACACCTTGAGGGCCTGGCTGTGCGGGCCGTGCTCCCCTGATGCCGTGGGCAGCTCCCTGGGGGCCTGGGAACCATGCCCGTCACCACCCAGCGGCCTCTGGAGCTTCAGGCGCTTGCTGTGGCCGTCCTCGACGTGAGCCATGCGCACCTCGGAGTGGCACGGAATTACCAAGTCTGCTTCTAGAAATCGGCTCGCCAAATACCGTCCCCGGGATTTGTGGTGCTCCCTTCTCCTGGAGTTGGTTTCCTGCCTGGAATAAAGAACTGAATGAAATGACCAAAAAATGGTGGCGGTTTACTTGAAAAAGTAAAAGTGAGGAATGAGGGAGAAACTAACTTTGCAGAAGAACTGAGTGAAAACAGAAGCGGGCCAGGGATCTGGCTCAGTGGTTCCGCCGCCTGCTTTGCAAGCGTAAGGTCCCAAGTTCAATCCCCGGCACAGAAAAAAAAAGAGGAAAACCAAGCTCTCCTTGGCATCTCTGTTTACACTGTCCAAATCTCAAGAAAACCCACAAGAACTTCTCCATACAGGTCCGGAGAGGCAGTGTTGGAGTCTCCTGAAAAGCCCAGTGCAAGGCTTTGGGAACTGCTCTGAAATGTACTGTGGCAATTTTGAATTAACAGGCTCCATCCTCTTCACCAGCCGGCTTTGCTTTGCCTAAGTCTCCTGCGTCACTCAGCCCTAGAGAGGAAGGCCAGGCTCCCAGGGCACAGCACCAGGCTGGCCCTGCCGAGGGCCTCAGTGTAAGGACATCAACACCCACTGTACATCTGAGCTGTGCTCCGGGGAGGACCCGGGGTGAGAAGTAAACCTGCTTCTGAACCACGGACTTTCCTAAATCTCCAGTCTGCATTTTCCATCGTTGGAGTGAGGGGCTTACTTAGCAAGAACTGAAATTCCTTGATTAGCCTTTACCTCTGTCTTCCTCACTACCTGCTCCTTACAAATATCCGTGAACATGAATAATGTGTAACAAAATGATATGCAAAGTTTTGAACCATAATCAAAGGACAGTTTAACTCCCCCCTATCAGACAGCCAAGCACATTCTGAGGTCTATCTCGTGATGGTTTAGGCTTGTTCCTGGATAAATTCAGCTTCTCTGGTGAGACCCATGAACTAGTTGAAAAGTGTAATTGAGCCAGGCGTGGCACCACACCCCTGTAATCCCAGCACTTGGGAGGCTGAGTCAAGAGCATCTCGTGAGTTTGTGGCCAGCCTGAACTGCATAGCGAGACCCTGTCTCAAAAAATAAATAAAAAGCAAAAAACTGTATATCCATCAGTGCTTATTAGAGAAAACGGATTCAGTAGGAGATATACACATATATAAGAATTAAAGAGTGGCTTACGGCGGCTGCCCGGAGTCAGGCGTGGAAGCAATGTGAAGGTCTGCGTGCTCCCGGGAGACAAAGGATCCAGTCAGAGGCCCAGAGCAGAGTCCAAGTCTGTATCCGAGGCTGAAGGGTCTGCACAGGAGCCAGGAGACGGCAGAGGTGAAGACTGGAGTGCCTCGGAAGAAGACTGAAGCGAGCCTTCCTTCTCCGCTTCCCTTTTATACCGTTCTGGGGCCGATCCTCCCTAGGGTGGGTCTTCCACACCCACAACTTGGCTGAGCTGATCGATCAACCGTTGCGCAGTGACCATGTAGACTCTGGACTTAGTGATGATTGTGGGTGGGTTTGGATCTGACCTCTTTGGGGGCAGATCTGTAGGGGTGGGGAACAGTGAAGTACACAGGGACACTGCCGTGGACGCGCCTCAGAAGGGGCCCCTCCCTGCCCGTCCTCATCCCGTCCTATGGTCGCTTTCTGGAGCCGCTCTGGAGCCCTCTTTCCTGAGGGTCTAAAGGGGTGTGATCAAAAACACCTCACAGTGGGGCCGGGGATTTAGCTCAGTGGTTCTGTCGCCTTCCTCACCAGTGCAAGGCCCCGAGTTTGATCCGGCAGAAAGGCAGCTCATAAAATCACAGCAGCGCGTCCTCGTCTGCCACAGGATCTGGCACCATGCAACTGCCGGCTCTTCCCAAAGTCGCAAAGACCAGGAGAGGGGATTGGATCCATTCAGGGCATCACGGCAGCCAGGACAGCACAGCAAAAGTCCACCACGAAAGAGCTCCAGAGCTGCTGCAGGAAGCCCAGGGAGCCCCGAGAGGCTGTCCACCAGCACAGCAACCTGGAGGACGCGGGAAGTGGCCGGAAAGGAAGGCAGGGGCGGTGCCGGGCCAGCACTGGGCTCCTCCCCAGCAACCCCAGCAGGGGCAGACGACAGGCGGACGAGCCTCGGGGCTCAGGGCAGAGAAGCAGGGAGCACGGCCCCTCTCCAAGTGAGGCCTCCGCTTCCTGCAGCCACATTCACCGTGGTATGGAGTGGAACAGGAAGATTCCAGAAGGAGCCCACAGGTCCCGGGCGGCACCTTCTCCGAGTGGTGTCGTGGCCCCTTCGCCACCTTGCTCAGCCTCACTCAGGCCATGGGGCACCTCTGTGCCTGCAGAGGTCACCGCCCGGGGCTCACCGGGCTGGACACTTTGTGGGTGCTGTGCCGGCCGCGCAGCCCAAGAGCCCTGAAGCCGAGAAGCCCCAGCCTGGGCCAGGAACAAGAGACACTGGTGCTGGGGGCGGCACTGCAGGGCACAGCGAGAAGAGAACACACGGAGGGCTCTGCGGTGTGCAGCCCTGGGCAGCTGAGGGGCTGAATATATGTTTTTTGTCTTGGGGGTTTTTTTCCATAAAGGAGCAAACGGGCTATAGAAGAGAAAACAGGAAGAAGCAGAAGATAAAGATCATGCACTAAGGTCTCAACAAGGAATGTGGGCTTCATCGTTTAGGGGGGGGGTGCCATGAAGACTGAGTTTTGGTTCTTTGAGACAGGGTCTCACTACGTAGTTGAAACTGACCTGGAACTCACAATGTAGCCCAGGCTGGTCACAAACTCACAGAGGTCCTCCTGCCTCAGGCTCCCGAGTGCTGGGATTACAGGCGTGCGCCGCCACGCCCGGCTCCTGAGAAACTATTTTTTGAGTAATGAGATTGTGCCAGCTGGATGGGGGGGCTGGAAAGTTTTTAACACTCAAATTGAAAACTGGACAAATTCATCAACAAATACAAATGAAAGTTAAAAATTAGAAGATGGTGAGAAATTAATATCCAAATTTCAACAAAAATGACCAAGACGTGAAAAATATCAGAGATGTTAAGATGCATTGCTGGTAGGATGAAAAAGGTAAAATAAAAGGTGTGGTAAATCAGGGTTCCTAAAAAAAAAAAAAAGAGGAGAAAGTGAGACAGCGTCTATTAGAAGCCATGGAACACCCGTCCACATTCAGGACTGGACGAGTCACTGCGCTGTCAAAGGGAGAGGAAGGACAGCAGAAAGCTCCAAGGCGCCCCAGGGGGACAGCAGGAGAAGCAGCGGAGCGCCCCCCGCTGTGCTAACGAAGTAACTGCGCGCGGGAGAGCATTTAGATGATGGCGGAGCGGGCTCTATGCAGGCCGTCACTAAAGGGGATTGCAAACCATTGCCCGGCAGGCGGAAGCACTGGACCCCAGAGGACAGGTCCCGGCGGGGCTGCACGGTTTGTCTGTCCGCCCCACCCTCATCTGCATGTACGGTGCTGAGCCAGTCGCCTAAGAGGCAGAGCCTAGCGGGAGGTGGGTAGGTCATTGGGCCGCGGGGTCGGGATCGCGGCAGCTAGCAGGTGACCCTGTCAGCTCCCACAAGCGCTGGCGGGCATCGTCCTGGCCTCTCAGCCCACTGTGTGACCTCCCTTTGTACACGTAGCCGGCTCCAGTTCCTTCCAGGACGTCAGAGCTGTGCCCGCAGGCACCACCCACAAGACTGGGGAGCCACAGAAACCACTGCTTTGCAAAGATGAGCAAGCATGAAGGAAGAGTAAATGTAGGCATGAGGATAAACGGGCCCTCATAAAGCTAAATACAACGCGGTCTGGTGACTTTTTTTAAAAAACAAAATTAAAAATATGGTGTATGAACTCTCAGCAATCCTCCTGCTTCAGCCTCCTGAGTGCTGTCTGGGATCACAGGCTTGTTACACCAGATTTTAATTGGCTTTATTTTTTATTTTTTGTTGTAGAATCAGATGACAAACACTTTATTCTATAAAACAGAATAAGAGCCAGGGATTTGGCTCAGTGGTTCCACTGCCTGCCTCACAAGCACAAGGTCCCAAGTTTGATCCAGTCAGGCTGCTTGAGGACATGTTTTTGTTTTTGTGTAAGGACTGGGGCAAAGGGAACTTTATTATTTTGCACATTGAAGCCGGCTGTTTGGGAAACTTGTTACCTTCCTGTACCCCACTTCTCAAAGGCCAGATGAGCCAGGGAGTGCACCTGGCTGTGTGGAACCCCCGAGTGGGTGCCTCCCTTTGATGTCTGCCTGGACTGCTGGACCTAATATAGGGTCTTGGTCTGAAACAATGTCCTTTTGTAAATTTTGTTGAACAAAACCCAAATATGCACCTGTACTTCCAGGCAATGAAACTTTGGTATGTTCACAGAGCAATGAAAGTAGATGAATCTGCCCAAATGTTAAGTCAGACACAGCACAAAGGGAAATATGTAGTATGTGTTCGTTAATATGCAGCTCAACTACCAGTGCGCACTGGCAATCCCAGCACTCTGGGAGGCTGAGGCAGGAGGATCACAAGTTCAAGCCTAGTCTGAGCCTGTTAGCAGTTTAGCAAAACCTTACCTCTAAATAGATATGTTTGTAAAAGGACCAGGGACGTAGCTTTGTGTAGTGGCCCTGGTTTCAATCCCCAGGATAATAAATACATCCATCTTAAAAATCCAACAAGTATAATTGAGCTGTACTGGTTGGGAGGCATGCAGAGGGGATAGGACTCTTTTTTAAATTCAAGGAGATACTAGTGGCAAAAGTCAGCAGAGGCCACTCATGGGCTGAGAGCACCACCCTGGGATGCAGGGGGAATCACCGTCCCGTTACAAATCCCCGGGCTGAATGTGTTAGGGGAAGGAAGGTCTCATACATAGGCTCATGGCTCCCACCGGTGCAGCCCATGGTTGCCGCCCTGGGATCTGTGATGGCACAGAGTAAATTGGTTGGGAGGTAAACAGAAGGACAGGAGGGGATCCTCCCAGGTCCCCCTCCATGTCGGCAACATCCAGCAACCCAGACCATGGCCCAGGGCACACTGGGGACCCCAAGGTGCTGACAGCTAGAGCTGAGCCTGGAAGGTGTCTGCAGAAGGTTCCACCTTGTAATTATTCTTAAAGAACTTTGCAAGCCAGGTGTGTTAGTGCATGCCTGTAGTGCCATTACTCAGGAGGCTGAGGCAGGAGGATCATCATAAGTTTGAGGCCAATCTGGGCTAAATAGTGAGACCCTGTCTCGAAAAGGAAAAAGAATACTGCAGAAAGAAACTGCACAGTGGTCTGTGCCTCTAATCCCAGCACGCTGGGAGGCTGAAGCAAGAGGATTGCAAGTTTGAGGCAAGGCTGGGTGACTAAGCAACTCAGCAAGACCCAATCTCAGAAAGGGAGGGAGGGAGGAGGGAGGGACAGACAGACACTGGGAATGTGGCTTGATGTGAAGGCCCAGGCTTCGTTCCCAGTACAAGAGGGAAAGGAGGGCATCGCAGGGAGAGGAACGCTGTTGTGCTCCTTCCTGGCACTGTGAGGTCGTTTAGAACGCGCAGAACGGTGCTGAGCTCTCAAGTCTGTGCCAGGCCCCGAGGACAAGGGCCTGGTGCTGCTCTGCGGCCTCCGGGAAAGTGGGACGTGGACGGCCAGGCACGGGGTCAGCTGCCCACCCCCGGAAACCCAGCTGCACAGTGCTAGGCCGGCACCTAGGGTGCTGGGCCCGACCCTTCTCTGCCCGGGTGAACAGGAACGAAATGACCTTGAATTACAGAGCTGAGCAGAGCAGCTCTGGCATCTGGGCACCTGGGAGCTGCTCGGGCCTCCTGGAGTTCCGCATCTGCGTGTTCTCAGGTCAGTTCGCTCACCTTGAAGCACCAGTGAGAAATCACTAGCACCAGCCAGGTGCAAAGATATACACCTGTAATCCCAGCACTCTAGGAGGCTGAGGCAGGAGGATGGCAGGTTGGAGCCCAGCCCGGGCCACCAAACGATGTAGTGAAATCCTGTCTCAAGAAGGGCTGGGGATGGAGCTCAGTGCAAAGGTCCTGGGGTCAGTCCCCAGTATGGAAGAGGAGGAGCGGGGAAGCAGGAAGAGAAAAATTGGAAGAGGAAGAAGGGAAGAGAGGGAAGGACAGAGGGACTTATTAGTAATAATATTTAGGGCTGTCTTTGGAAGACTAATTCTTCAAAATCACAATGCTATTACTGGTGTCCTTGGCCTGAGTTCTCCAACCGTAATCCCCGCCCCCGCACGCAGTTCAGTGCTTCTCGGTCGTGCGCAGAGTTGTGCAGCCTCAGATGA